ACTAGGGTTTACTAAAGATTGGATTAGCAAAGTTTGTTGCTGTAAACTCTTTGCCAACGCCGTCGCAATACACTCTGAGCCGATGGCGGACCAATCACCTGCCGATCAGACCCCGCCGTCCTCCGAAATGCAGTCCCTTTCTATCAGCTCTCAACCTCCATCCTCTTCTACTCCACAGTATGTAATTTTCGTTGTAATTTCCGTTGTAATTTCAGATAAAAAAACGACTTCAATTTATTCAGTTATTTTGAAATTATGGTTTCAGGGTGAGTTTAGAAGAAAGGTTTAGGATTATAAGAAGCGTAGGGGAAGAATGTATTCAAGAGGATGAACTGTTAAACCTTCTCACTCATAAACCTGAACCCATTTGCTATGATGGCTTTGAGCCTTCTGGCAGAATGCACATTGCTCAGGTATTTTTCCTCTTTTTAGAATCTTTGAAGTAATTTTTTTATCAAGATTTTCTACTCGTCTTACGTTGAATCCTATCTATATCTAGAAATTGAATCTCAGAACTGAAACAACTGCTTTGTTGGATTTGATTTATACAGAAAAGTTAATTATGGACTTGATCATTATTCCCAACTCATTGTGACAAATAGAAAACTGCCAATTTTATCTCTCTGATGATTTGACTTCAAAGATTTAGCTTCTTTGTAGTGCTATACTGATTTAACTGTTTCTTATCAATTGCTATTTGCTGCTTGCCGGGCTTTTACTTTTTCATTGTTTTCAAATCTAACGACTAACATGCTTCTGTAATTTACTTTGTTTATTCATACACTGCTCCTCAACAAGATAGTAGCAACTTTTGGTCTCGACAGTGTAGAATACAATTAGATTTATGGTATTTCACCCTCTTTCACTGAATTTTCTTTTGTTATTTGTGGTATAAACAGGGAGTTATGAAGGCAATAAATGTCAACAAACTGACCACTACTGGGTGTAGAGTGAAAATCTGGATTGCAGATTGGTTTGCACAGCTAAACAATAAAATGGGTGGTGACCTGAAGAAAATCAAAGTAGTTGGACAGTATTTGATTGAAATCTGGAAGGCAGTTGGCATGGACCTGAATGGAAAGGTTGAATTCTTGTGGTCTTCAGATGAAATTAACTCCAGGGCATCGGAGTATTGGCCACTAGTGATGGATATAGCTCGCAGAAACAAGCTTCCCAGGATCATGAGGTGCAGGGCTAATAAAATAATTTTTCTCTGTTTTATTCTTAATATTTGTATTAATTGTTTTGTTGACTCCAAATACAAAATTTGTTGTTTTCTAGGTGTTGTCAAATTATGGGTCGTAGTGAGCAAGATGAGTTGTCAGCCGCCCAAATTCTTTACCCATGCATGCAGTGTGCTGACATATTTTTCCTTAAGGTGCTTCTGTTTTGGATTTTATCCTGTTATTATTCCTAGGCTTTTTGAGAACTTTAGACAAATATATTTATATGTAAATCTCAATGAATGTGCAAGTGTCACTACTCACTCGTGTCCCAAGTTATTTCTACAAATTACTCTATATCTCTATCAGTGTCACTAGCTTTATCTGTATCTTGCTGATAACCAGTATTTTGTAAAGTCTCTATCATGCCCTTCATGTCAATTGCTTGTTACAGATTGAAATTTCTCCCTGAAATTTGAAAAAATAGCCCAGTTAGTTGTTGCCACTAGATCTTTACTTTGAAGGTGGGATTTTGAAACCAAGCATATATAAATGCTTAGTAGGTGTATTTGGACATCTATTCTTTTTTCTTTTTGTAATTGAGAAATTCCCCTAGGACATTATTTGTTATCTTTTCGTTTTAGGAATTGACTATTATTTCTCTCAGCGTTGTTCATATATTCATGTTTTTTCAATCATGTCAAAATAAAGAAAAGTTTCAAATTCTTACTGAAGATCCAAATGTACCATAAAAATTTTGCTACAAAACCATTTTAACTTTGACAGTTTAAGTCAAGAACCGTTAAGGATCCCAGCATGGTTGCTTTAGATCTCCTTCATTTCTCTGCATTCTGGACTATTTTTTAGGAGCTGTAGGTACATTCTATGTTTTCTTATAATGTTAAATTCAAACTTTTATTTATCTAAAGCAACTGGAATTGCTTTATGTGGACAGGCGGACATTTGCCAGCTAGGCATGGATCAAAGGAAGGTTAATGTGCTTGCAAGAGAGTACTGTGATGACATAAAGAGGAAAAACAAACCAATCATTTTGTCTCATCGTATCGCCCTACTTCAGTATCTATAATTTGGTTCTTTTTCATTTCCTTTTTTTCCCCTTTTATTTTAGTTTCTCTTGGTTTTAATGATGTTCAGATATGCTTCCTGGTCTCCAGCAAGGACAAGAGAAAATGTCCAAAAGTGATCCATCATCGTCAATATTCATGGAAGATGAGGAGGTAGCCTATATTTAACCCGGAGGATTAATATCTGCGTTTTGAGTTGTGTGCCTAATGCTTTCTTATGATTCTTGCCACAGGCAGAAGTGAATGTGAAAATAAAGAAAGCATACTGCCCCCCTAAAATTGTTCAGGGGAACCCTTGTTTGGAGTATATCAAATACATCATATTCCCTTGGTTTAATGAGTTCAAGGTGGAGCGCAGTGCGGACAATGGCGGTGACAAGTTAGTAGTTAAATACCTTCTTCATTTATATTCCACATTAGAATGTGTGTGTCTTTTTGGAAATTAATGCCTATGCATCAATACTTGAAGCTTCAGAAATCCTGCAGGCTTTAACGTACTTTATTGGTTTAACAAATCATTTGTACTGTCATTGTCGCACAATTTTGGAATGGCGTCGCACTAATGTGTTACTTCTTCTTTCAGGACTTATATAGATTTTGGGGAGCTTGTTTCTGACTATGAGAGTGGGCAATTGCATCCTGGTGATTTGAAGCCTGCTCTTTCTAAAGCTCTAAACAAGATACTACAGGTAAGCATGCACTACCTTCTATGTTTTTTTCCTCTCCCGGTAATAACTTGGTAATGCTTGAAGAAAATACCTAAAACCCTATGTTAACTCTACCCTAATGCAACCGAGTCCAGTTACTACCACACAGCCTCTGTCTAATCATTTTGGTTAGATGTGTAACAAATTTTGAGACCTACCTGGTTAGCTGCCACAGGCTTCGTATGAGACTTTATCACCGTACGGAAAAGGGTACCTAAGAGCACCAAGTGTGTGTTTGATCAAATGTGCATAGGCTGAAAGGGCTTGTTTTGAGGTGCTTTTGCTATAGGTGCATGGCTTAATAACACTGTATTTAGCATCTGGATTCAAATTCTCATTTTCCTGTTTTGGAAGCTATAATCCTGCATCCGTGAATGTTGCCCAGGACTGTTAGTGTAAGTGTAGGTAAAATATCATTAAGTTTTAGTATTATATACCAAAAAGAATATTTTGCTCAAAGTAATGGCTTGATGGACTTGCATGGTCATTTAAATTTACATTTCCTCCATTTATTTTCTTATTTTGTTCTGAAGATGTGTACTTAGAGGTAAGAAAATATTATGATGCTCGAATTTGGTTCGATCGATAACTTGAACTGCTTGAGCTCATCAGATTCTAGTATTTTCTGAGTCGAACTCTAATAGCTTGCTAGTATAAGGATATATCATGTACAAAGTTGTCGAACACCTTATTTAGTTTAAATGGGTGTGAATCTAATTTTCTTCTGAATCTTTTATCTACAGCCGGTACGTGATCACTTCAACACTGATGCCAACGCCAAGGATCTGCTCAAACGGGTTAAGGTATTGGTTCATATTTCTTGATTCCCGTGTTTTAGTTATGATATTTTTTGATGAGCCATGAGATGCTTGACCAGCTGTGCCAGTATTTTATTTTTCAGTTTGTCAGACAGCTTTTTTTCATCTTTTACTGTGTACGAAACTTGAGTTTTTAATATTTTGTGTGATGCAGAGTTACCGTGTGACCAAGTGATGTCGAGGAAGATGATTCTTAACTGCTGCTCATCCGGATTGATTAGCATTTAGTGTTGCTTTGTTTATCACATAACATTCAAATGAAAACTTGACCGTGCATCTTCTATACTTCTATAGATAATAAGTTTGTTTTGGGTTTTATCTAGGCTTAATTACCTATATGGTTTTTGTACTTGCCAGCTCTAAACTTATTTACCCTCAGCTTGATGCCTGCACTTCTATTCCGCTGATTATTTTGATATTTTTAATGCCGTTAATTTTTTAGCAATATGGACCCTTCTACCAATAGAAATGTGCCACGTGGACTGTTTGACTCAACTTAATGTCTGCACTTTATTCCTAATTTTCTTGATTCTCTGTATTTTAGGTATGCCATTTTTGACCGGCTGTGCCACTATTTTCAGCTTGTTAGACATCTTCCTTCATCTTCTACCGCTAACGGAACTCGAGTTTCTAATATTGAGTTACTGTGTGACCGAGTGATATCGATGAAGAAATTCTCAACAAGTATAAACCAATTATGCATTACAAATTCAACTGTTACCATAATTTTATAAACCCAACCACTTAAATTTCCCACACTGTTAGATCAACTCAAGAAATGTTTAAACTAATCATGCATTACACGTTAAAATGTTACCATAGGGCTAAAAATCCAACTGCTTGAATTCTTCAATTGGGAAGTATCAAGCTCAATTATAAAACAAAACCATCGTTATTTGCCTCTTGTGTAGGGCATTAGAAGATCAATTCTCTTGCTAACTAGCTCTTATTTTTCAGCCATTCTACCGATTGCAGTTCACACAAGATTCTAATCCATTGTTTGTAATCTGCCGCATAGACAATTCAAAATGTATGTAAAGCTTTAGTTACCTACAGGTAGATTCTAATGGAGATGTTATGATGAAAATAAAATGCAAAAGTTATAAAATTTGAGCAGAATACCACACAAATATTATGTATAACCTTCCACAAACTACCATAGCAGAATACCCAAACAAATATTATGTATAATACATGCATACATAAATATGAGCAGAAATTTATAAAATTTGATTCTAGTTCAGTAGCATTGAAGTACTCTAATCTCAAATTCCCAAACCAACATAAGCCAGATAAAACAAAACAAAAAACTCTATCTAGAAAAATTTAACCTAAACACGTTTAAGAAGAAGAAGACGGCTTGGTAGCAGTCCTAACAGAAGACCAAATCTGGGCAATACCCTCAAAAACATGAGGCAAAACACTGCTGATGCCATTGAAAGCAGCCCCGGAAGCAACCCCAATTGCAAAAGTCTCCAAATACCCAGGCTTGGAGTCGAGCTTCATATCCACCACCGCTAGCCTGTTGTTGACACTGTCCATCTTTCTCGAGGCGTCGATCAAGAACTTGTCTTTCTTGGGCTTGGAGTTGGATGAGACGACCCTCATCACCACATTCTGGAGATCCTCAATGACTTTGACGGAAGCTTCTTGGGCATCCAGGCCTTGGGTTTGGTAATGGGATATTAGCTCTTGCGGTGTCGGGATTTTCCTCTTTGTTTTGCTGCTGCTGGTCTTGTCTCTGTCACTAAGTTTTTGAGGAACACTTGGTGTCGCAGGTTGTTCCATTTCCTTGAAACGATGGAAACACCGCCGAGAAACCTACAATTCTGGGGTTTTGGGGGATTAGGAAACGGATAGGACAACTGGAGAAATATACATTCTGTTGAGGTTTAAGGTTTTATTTTTTCTGTTCATTGATTAAGCCCAAATTGCTAACTTAGTAAAGGCCTAAATTTATCTTGTATAAAATTAATGGCCCATATGCAATGGGTTGCTCCAAACGTAGGTAAAAGTAAAGGCGAGTAAAAAAATCAAACTAATTAAAATTGAATCGAATCATAATATTTAACGATTAGTAGTTTATAAATTTAAAATTATAATAGTTTGAATTGAATCAAAAATTTTATTTAATTTATAAGTAATAATTTTAAAAAAAAAATACTTTTTAGTAAATAAAAACAATTAATAACTCTAATATAAGTACATTTAAATTATTTTCACTATTTGAGATATAAAAGATAAATTAATAAATTAAATTGATATAAAAACTGAAAATCAGACCTGTTTAAAATAGATACAAATTAATGAATGAATGAATCAGACATGGCCATTATATTTTTTTAGTTTTATAAACAGTTTCTTAGATTTATCTTAATTCTAAAATTAAGCAAATTGGTCCCTTCAAAAAAGAGAGAATTAATTTAGTCAATTTCAATTTTAAATATGAGATATTAAATACAATTAATCGAAATATTAATGTTTTCTACCAATTTTATACGGTTTTAATTAATATAATGATAAATTTATCTTTTAAAGTTTATATATTATATTAATTTGATCCTAATTCTATAATCATTTAGTTTAACCTAAGAGTTTCATAATATGTAAATTACATGTTAATTTTTTTAGAATTATGTTCAAAATGACATAATAGATAAATATCAAAGGCTAAATTTGTTATAATGACAATAAAATAATATAAAATTGACGGGAAGCGTTAAAGCTGAGAATAGTTGTCCTTAATTGCTCATTTTAGGAATTGAAAAGTACTAAATTACTCGTTTTTTTAAAAGGCCAATTTTCCCAGTTTCAAAATTTAAAGGGACCTAAGAGGTCATTTGACCTTTTACTTTTTATCTCAATGAGTGGTTCTTTTAACTATATATTCAATAAAATAAAATGTTGCTTGGCTCCGGTCAATTTTTGAAACACCTAAATTTAAATTTGATAATTTGATTTATTAATAATATGAGGGTGGTGTTTCATTTTCAAAAGAAAAGAAAAATTAATTTTAATATTAATTAAAAATAAAAAAATAAATTTTAATTCAAGCCAAAAAGAAATTGAAGATCTTGGTACAAAAAACTCAACCGAGTTCTAGAAAAAGGAAAGAACATAAATTTTAAAAAAATAGATTAAATTATTGGTATTGATGTGACTTAGAATTTCAGGTAAAAGAAAGAAAGTATTAGTATGGGATAATGAAAGTACTTTCTCTCTTCTTCCCGAAGAATCGAAGTAGGGAAGGGCGGACATTCAAAATGAAATAGTTTGAAATTAAGAGCAAAAATTGCAGTAATACTATCTTTATGCTTGTTCCTTTTGATAAAAAAAAGAAGCTTAGTCATGTGTAGTTGAAGTTTCCTCACTACCAGCCGAACAGCTAGGGGGCATGTTCTCTTCAGCAATCTCTTTGAGTCGATTCAGTTCCGGTAACACTTCCTTGTCGAGATCAGGCCTGTCTCGCCGTCTAAGTTCCGCACATCGAATTGCCAGTTTGGCCATTGACAAGGTCTCTTCAGCTGGCCAGTCGGTCACTGCAGGGTCCAGCATCTCTTCAAATGTGCCATTTTCTATGGCTAGCCCGACGTAGTGAGACAACCCCATTGGTGGCCTTGCTGTTAAGAGTTGAAGAAGTATGATCCCCAAGGAATATACGTCGGATTTCACCCCCAGCACACCTGTTTGTTGATACTCCGGATCGATGTAGCAAAATGTTCCGGCTGCCGATGTTATGCAGCACTGTGTCACGTTCTCTGCCACGGCTGGTACTAGCTTGGCCAGCCCGACATCACTGATCTTGCTAACGTAGTTGTGGTCCAGCAATATGTTGGCAGGCTTCATGTCACGGTGCACGATCGGTTCGGGTTTCGTTTGATGGAGAAAAAGTAGGCCTGTTGCGATATCTGCAGCGATTCGGAACCTGAGTTGCCAAGACAATACAGGACTGTTCCCTTTACCGAATAGACAATCATCTAAGCTTCCCCTAGCCATGTATTCGTACACTAGGATCCCATACTCTGGGCAGGCTCCTAGAAGAAGTACCATATTAGGATGGCGGATGCTGCTCAGTACTTCAATCTGCAAAACAATAATCAACACTCAAGAGCATGATGTTCAAATCATTTTATGTCTTTAAAGAGTCCCTTAATTGATTATATTTTCAGTTTTTTTTACCTCTTGCAGAAATTGTAATCTCCCTTGAGCAGCATCTGGTCGCAAAACTTTAACTGCAACCTGTGTATGTTCAAGATAACACTTAAAGACAGGACCATAACCTCCTTCTCCGATTTTTCGATTGGGGGCAAAGTTTTCTGTTGCCTTTTCAATTTCCTCAATGGAGTATCTCTTGTATTTGATATTACTGTTGGATAGAATCTGCAACATCCTCTTCATTTCCTCTGTTTCTCTTAGCGCTCCCCCTCTTGTACTTGCCAATATTCGCTTTGATTCTACTCGCTTCTGTACTGCTTCGGCTGCTTCCATGGCTGCTTTGCACTTGGCTTTCTCTTTCTCTACAGCTGACATTGCAGCTTCCTCGGCTCGTTGTACCTCTTCCAATCTTTGTTCTTCTTGATTTTTGCCGTGTTTTATCTCAATTGCCTGAGGTTAGTAAGTCCACAATTCAGAAAACTTCACAGTGGGAGGGCTAAAAGATGACATGATTGATGCTTGTACCTGTTGTTTTGCTGAAATTGCTTGTCTGCAAGCATTACCGTATAAGTCCATTGTTTGCTTCAATTCCTGCCTTAGTCTCTTCATTTCAGCTTCAACTTCGTCCTGTACGGTTTTAGATAAAATAAGTCGAAAAATCGATTTTGGCCAGCCATGAACCGTATGAACTTGTTGAGAATATTCAGACTAAAACAACTGCAGTTCTGTTTTTAATATTCATCTTCAATATGATAAGAGATGAATGGAACCTGAAGCCTGCAAGTGTTTATCTTAAATCTAGTCTTCCATTGGACACAACCTGATTAACGTACCAGATTCTGCGATGAACAAGATGATCTTCCACTGTCAATCGACGGTTGTGAGAAATCAAATTGAGAATTACAGTCAGCCCATCTCATTCCTGATCGCATTGATCCAACGCTAATATCTGTGCAGTTCGATAATCTCATATTTCGATTAGAGTCAATGAACGAATCAAAGAACAAAGAAGATCCACAATCAGTGCTTGGCCTGTCTGAGCTAACGAACGATATATCAGTATCTGATTCCGATAAGTCAGCGAACGCTCTGGTGAGACTGGCTCTTGTAGGGGGTAACCTGATTTTATAAAGACGATGGTTAGTTCACCAGCAAGTTAATGTCATCATAAAACAGATATCTTTTGCTTAACAGGATTGTTTCTCGATACTTGCCCCGAGCCGCATTCGATCGAAGTACGATGCTTGCTCGCTGACTGATTATCTACTGCATAGTCAAGATGCAAATATTACATTCTCAACTGGTCTAGCTAGATGTAAATGTAGACTAAACCTGAAAGGATATTAATGTAGCAGGGAAACAAACCTGCTTTTCCTGGACCAGGATTACTCAGGGAAGGCTTGCTCACAGACAAGCCTTGGCTACGGGTAGTAGATTTCTTAATTTGATCAAGTAACGGGGAGGTGAACGGGGCGGCACGAACGGCATTTCGTACCGAAGATACCTTTCCTTTCGAGATGACATATACGGTGCAGAAGTCCGGCGAAGCTTTCGATACACAGCTCGGTATGTCGGCCCTGAATTTTCTGCAGAACGATCATTTGCATAAGAATTTCAATACTGAAATGGCTATCAAGTTGGGAAGAAATACCTCATAAATCCACTTCGAGATGGGGCACCGAGAACCAATTTCTCAATTGCAGCATAAGCAACATATTCAGTCAATGCTTTTACAATATCCGAATCTTCAAGCACGACATCAAGAGAATGTATCTGTCGTGAAAGGAGACAAGCTCACATCAAACCGAATGAATAAACAACATTAACAAATGTCAAAGACACGAGGATTTGTTTGTTCCACTCATAAACATACATCTTTTCGGGTACAAAAACAATGAAAGGTGAGGAACAATTCCTTGGATATCTTGTCCGTTAACTGTTTGTTCGATGAGTCGCCACCGTTACCTGCACCAGAAAAAACCTAATGAGAATCGAGCATGAGGGAGCAAAATTTAGGGTTTTGAAAATTACTGGCTCCATTTGGTGATTTATTAACAACGTGAATAAGAACAACGGTTTGGCTTTTGGAAAGAAGATGCTCAACGGCCCATCTGAAAGCATGTTGGCTCCCTTTGTCCTTATCAATGGCTACGGCTACCAGCCCATTGCCACCTCCTTTCTTCATGGATGTACTCGTACTTCCCTTCGGATACCACATTTTGCTGCCTCTATTTCTTATTAGTCTCCTCTCAAAGAAGTAAAAAGAAAAGAAGAAAAAGGCTACGGAATCTCTATGCAGCAGGCTGATATTGACCATGCATCTCTCTTTTAACACCTGCTCCTTTTGGTTTTTGGTCCGAGAATCGTGTTCCTCTCATTAACAATACCTGAACCAAATTGAACTCCCTATTTCTCTTGTTCTCCAATGGCTGTATTATATTCATAGGAAACCTTACCAAAACCAAACATGATGCACCAATGATTATTAATATGCGTACTATCTACTATATATATCTATGCCATTTATAAAAAGTAAATACATGCAACTATTGTATATCTGACGGTTGTCTTTTTATTTCTTTGTTTAGCTTAATTTTTTAGCTAAATAAATTACTTTTTTAAAGAAAACATTTTTATTAATTATTTTTCTATATTAAAATGATATATTTAAATAGATTGTTTTAAATATTTATGGGGGGACAAATTTAGGACCCAAACTCAATTTATTTGATTGACTTTTTTTTTAAATCATGTTTTTGAATCTTTACTCGGGGTTATCTATATTTAGTCATGGAAATTTTGTATTTTATATTTTTTATTAATTTAATTAAAGTGCATAAAATTAAATTAATATTTATATATGATTTTTTGAATAACAGTCGATTGGTGATTTAAGGATGATTGATCATTCATTGTTAAATAATTAAGAGTATGTAGAACATGATATAGGGCTTGCTGATAACACATAACTATAAGTAATGCAACTATAATATATTTCACATTAGTTTGATTTTGGTAAAATTTTATATATTGTTTTATTTGTCTCCTCACACTGAATGATGTGGTTAAGCTTTATATATTGCTGATAACACATTACTGAACAGAACCTCACCAAAAACCACGAATCATACAGATCTTTTGAGAGTCCAATAACTTGTTTCCCCTCATAAAACCACAAAGACCAGATAATAATACAGAACTTACTGTCATAATTCTAGAAAAGCCAAACGTCAAAATCAAATTGATGTATTTTGTTAGGCCATGTATATCTGAAACGATTCCAGATTGTGTTAGCATAACTGCAATCAGGACTGATATGAATGGTGGTCTCATCTTTGATTTTACAACGTTGGAATCATCGTGAGATAATAAATCTTTTAATCACTAAATCTTGTATTGTAGGGACAATTTTGATAAAATATCACGTGATATGTTAATAGTTAAGTATATATATGTAAATGTCACATCAATTACATGTGTCGACCATCAATCAATAGTTTTCTTCTAACATAAATTATTTTGATTAAAAATTAAAACATTATGGACTAAAATCCTTAAAATATAAAAATCAAAGTGATCATTTAGACAGTCTATCCTCTAGACGTACTCAAAATGCATTGGTGAAGTCCGCTCAGTGGAATAAGGGGGTACAGGTTTGGCACCTCGATGTTGGCTCTTCGCCACCTGAGACTCTAGTATGTTCCAAGGGTTAGGCTGTTCGCTCATTAATGTTGTACATGAGTTGGGTTTAGAACGTCATGAGACAGTTCAGTCTATTAGAGATTAATTTTATCATTATACCTTTTCAAATCCTTTAATTTTGTTCCAATTAGAAAAATTACAGAGATTAATATCTTTCAGCATTTATTAGAGACATCGAACTATTTATGGTATTTTTAAACCCCAGATGTTCTATCTTATGAGCTCTATTGGGGCAGACTAGTAAGGCCTATCCATGTAATGTTGTTGACGCCATTCAAATAATTTTGTGTAGAAACTCCAGACATGGCGGACTGGATTCGGGGGCGCTTAACACCCTCAATTTGCAATTGGGTTACCTTCTTCAGCAAAATCCATTTCAGTGTTGAATCCACAATTAGGCTTGGTATATATCAAGTCTGGATTCGGTCCTATGCTCATCCCTAATTTGTAGTCTCTAAGATTGAGTTTTTTATATGAATGAGTTTATAGTGAATGACACACAAATGTGCATTGATATGCACCATTAATATAAAAATATGGTAAAATTCATAAATGATCATTAAATTTATTAAAATGGTTTCATATGTGATTAAATTTTTAAAAGTTATAAAATAGATATTAAACTTTGAATGTTATTAAAAAATAGATAGCAACCGTGAAATATTGTTGAATGTGTGATGTGTTATGCTAAATTAATAAAAAATATCTTATTTGGCCTCTCAATTATAACTAAAATTTCATTTTTGATATTTTTTTTTTCAATATTATTAAATAATAATTTCAAAAATAAATTATAAATTTAATTTTTTATAAAAATATATAAAAATAATTTATTTTTAAAATTAAAAATCATATTTTTTTTGAAATTTTCATTCATAAAATTATTTTATAACTAATTATTCATGATTGTATTTGTAAAATTAAAAAAATTATAATTTTTGATATCCAAAAAATTGAATTATCAAATAATGTAATTATTTTTTTAAACGACATGATTCAAGCACTTGACTTTTGTTTAAGAAATTTAAACACAATTTTAAAAAATACATTCAGAAAATTATAGTGTCACATTAATATGAAAAATACATCCAAACTTAAATAAAAATCATCAAAACTATTATTAATTTTTAGTAATTTATATGGTATAAATTCAATAGGTATAATATGACACTAAAAATTAATATGTAATTTATTTATATTCATTTTTTTTTCAATTTAGATAACATAACAAAAATTATTGTAATTAAAATTAATAGTAAAATGAAATTTTAGTTTCAACTAAAGGAGAAATTATTTCATGGACCTTTTTCACTGCATCATCAATGGTCATAACCAATTAAAATAGTCAATGTCAATCTTTTTTTACATGTCATTTATACACTAAGATTTTATTTTCCAAATCAATTTCTTCATTCAATGCATATCACAATTAAAATTAAATTTAGAGATTATTTTTAAGATTTTCCTTAATTGTTTTTTTTTTACTCTAACAACACATAAAATTTGAACCTGTTCATAGACATCTACATAAAACTCACACATAACTTACAAGGTGAGAGTTGAACCTAGATCAAGGACTTAGAATTTATTAACTTTATTGACTTCAATCAAGAAATCGATAAATTCGAACAATAATTAAAAAAATCAAAATATTATTCTTTAACCATAATTTTTTCCTTTCAAAATCCAAGCATTATGACCTCACCAAACGTTTTAGAGTCGGGCAATTCTATAACCAAACTTAACTCTTCACGCGATTAGCCATCAATGTTGGTCGGACATGATAGAAACCCTGAGGTATACGACAGAAGAAGGTGACATGCTTGAAGGATACTGCGACCAAAAAATTGTCGATTCACCTCTTTTCTTAGCCGTATGTGAAAGATGACGTGAATGTTCCTGTAACATCCCAAAAACATGGCTAGTGACTAAATTGTAAGTTTTGAAACTTTGAGGTATGATTTTAAAAAAATTAAAAAGTTCAAGGACTTAAATATGAATATTTTTGGTATGAGATTAAATGGTAAAGATGGAAGGAATAAAGGGTATTATGGTCTTTTTAGCTTAAAGGATACTTTATCTCCTTTATTAAGAGATAAACACGTGGGAGTTGAGAGAGATATCTGGAAGCTTATTTCTTCTTGTTTTCTTCTTCTTCCCGTTAGCTCCAGCTCAAAGGTGAGTTAAGATTTAGCTGTTTATTTCTTGGATTTTAAGTTGATTTGTGTTCTTTTAGTGTTATATAAGCTTAAGGAAAGCTTAAATTGTCTTAAAATTAAAAGATGAAGGAGTTAGGAAGGATTAAAGATAAGAGGTTTATAAGTGAAATATTGGAAGAGAGTTACTAAGCAGAATTTGAGACTAAAATTGACTTGTCATCAGTCAAATTAAGAAGTATGTAGTGTTAGAATTGAAATTAGAACATGTTGGAAAAATTGGTAGGATTCTTGATTTCAAGAATATAAGTTGATTTGAGTAAGGGTAGTTGAGTTTAATGACATGATAGGAGTTTAAAATGGAAGATTTAGATTGGTATTGGTGATTTTTCGGGTTTTAAAAATGAATTCTTGGCTATTAGTATCGGTACTGCTTCATCCAGTACCGATACTTCAAGGGTAAATGAAGGAAATTGGGAGTAGGGGTATCGCTACTGGTTGAACAATATCGATACCATAAGCTTGAATTTGACAAGATATTCAAGAAGTATCGACACTTTAGGGGTAGTATCGATACATGGGGTACCGATACATAAGTCAAGTATCGATACCATTTTGAAATAAGGATTTCAGAATCGTGAAAGGGTATCGATACCAATGAACAGTATTGATACCACAGTGAAGGAAGTATCAGTACCATACCTTTGGCACCGATACTACTCAAAGGGAAATGTGAATTAGATACTTCTTTTAGTTCAAATTATTGATGATTGGTTATAAGTGATTAGAATTAAGATATTCATATCGATTATATGTATTGTGTAGATATCGATCGAAGACAAGTCCAAGACGGTTCGAAGCTATAAGAGTGTACAAGAGTTATACGTATATGAATGGACTAGTGAGGCCAAGTGAGTGCATACTAGTAGGAAATATGATTTGATGGAAATTACACTTATGACAAGTATGTTTCCGACATTTTGAAAATATGATTATATGAGTAGAATAATGATTATGATTGTACTATGTGAATCATGCCTTGTATGTATCACATGTATGAGACTTATGTGAATATAAGAGAATAAAACATAAACTATATGAAATGATATGAGCCATAAGAGATTACCTATATGAACATATGAGAAAGGATATGAGCTATATGTGCTACATGATATAAGTGATTTCATAAAAAATGACATTTCTATGAGATAAGCCATATGACTATAAGCTATGTGATAAGAAGTTATGTGATTACATAATTTCAAGATATAAGCTATGTGATGTGAATATGTGACAAACATAAAAGATACTGCCCATGTTATTTGTTATAAGAGCTAGGGGTATAGTTGACATGCCAAGAGTCGAGGGTTCTATGTGGTCCTTTGAGACATATATGTAATCCTTTGGAACATATATGCGGTACTTTGGTACACCTATTTGGTTCATTGGAATATGTATGTGGTTCTTAAGGAGTGGTCATTCGGGACATATATGTTGTCTTTCGGGACATCTATGTGGTCCTTCGGGACGCAGTCATTCGAGATAAATTCTATGTGCCCCTAGTGGGAATTTATACGAGCTATGGTAACAACATAAGTGCACAACCTCAATGTACTCACATATCTTTAGTTCTCACAAGTGTACCATGGGCAAACAAAAGAGTTAACTTAAATAAACTGTATGTGATGCTATGTGTTTTGATTTGTGAAATGTATGATATGATGTGCATAAATGTTAAGGATAAGATCACATGAGTAAAGGAATGAATGGAAATAATATTGATAATAATAAGAATGTGAATGATGATAATGATAGTATATATATGTATGTATTTGTTGCATGAAAGAACTTATGAGTTAGTATGACATGATAGAATTATATGTTCATGCATTATTAGGAGTTCAAGTTACCTTATATGCTTTAAATGCCTCACTAAGTCATCGACTTAGCGTGTGAGTGTTTCACACGTAGGTTCCGTGAGCAAGAAGAGGAGCATGGATAGGCAAATCAAGTCAGTTACTCCTCTCCAAAGATCATATCAGAAAAACAAGTCAGTTACTCCTCTCCAAAGATCATATCAGAAAAACATATTTTGAATAATATGTATTTTGCTATATAGAATGTAGTTGGCATGAAATAAAAAAAATTGAATTGTATCCGCTCTGATAAGTTTTGTAAACTTCTTGATGGAAATGGTATAAAATATGCATTTTGATTTAATAAAAGTCGGCATTTTCATATTTTTGTAAAAGTAATTGTTTTTAAAAGTCAGTGTGACATCTCGGACTCGTATCCGGGTCGGATACGAGTTGGGGGTGTTACAGTTCCGGTCAAGGGTCTACTTCCTTGAGTGAAAGTTAGTTACACTTGTGTTTACTGTTTAGTCACTCGTTGAATAAATTTTTATGAAGTTTTATGGGTTTTTGTTGTCTACAAATGGTTTGATTTTACGTGTTGTTGGAGAAAAAAAGAGAATTAATGAAAATCTTAAAAACAATCTTTAAATCTAATTTTAATTATGATATGCATTGAATGAAAAAATTGATTTAGAAAAAAATGTATAAATGACATGAAAAAAAAGATTGACATGGACTATTTTAATTGGTTAGGACCATTGATGATATGGTGAAAAAGGATCCATTAAGTAATTTCTCCTACTAAAGGGTGAAATGATATATTTTTTTGTTAATTTAACTTGTCCCATCACATTTTTAATGATAGATAATGGTGTTGTGTCATTTTGTAACAATTTCTATGATTCAATGACTATTATATAACTTTTGAAAGATTGATATTTAAAAGAACATTTTGATATAAATTTAATGCCTATTATGAATTTTACCTTATAAAATTAGTGGCGGTGGATATGACATTCATTCTAGAATTTTACTTTTGGTAAGAATTGTTAACGCTTGATGGTCAATTACGATTATCAGGGAGTATAGTATTCTATTTTGATACTCTTGTGTAGGTTCTTTTTTCTTTTACCACAATTATGCGTAGAAAACTCCATTTTCTTGAAACAAGGTTTATGTCGGGAAATTTTACAGTACGACATTCTTAATATATGACTAAAAAAAGATGTTATCGATTTTATTATTATTTAAATAATAAAATCAGTAAAAAATTACATAAAATATTATTATTTCTATCAATTTTGTTATTATTGGGTGTTTTACCGAGCTTTATAATATATCCGGTAAAGCGCTACCTAAAATATTATTTTTCTACCGAATATATTACCAAACTCGGTAAAGCGGCCAATAATAACAAAACCGGTAGAAATAATAATGTTTCCGGTAATTTTTACCGATTTTATTATTTAAATAATAACAAAACCGGTAGTACATTTTTTTAGCCGTATATTAAGACTGCCGCACGTGATCATTTCATGGATTGTGTCACCATCCAAGCGCCATGTCTCATTGTTTTCCCAGATCATGTGTTTCTGTTGGTTTTACTACAATGGAGAAACCTGATATAATTTCTAGATCAATCGCCACAGTTCTCACTGAATATATATATGAAATCTATTCATACTCTCAACATGCAGAATTTGTGAATCCGAGGAAAAATTTGCAGATTGTCTTGTAGATATGGCAAAAACCATCAAATTTATATAACAAGAATGCCATGGAAGACATGTTTAGTTTGTCCAATAAAGATAAGATTTGATGGAATCCAAGTACAAAAATAAATAAATAAATACATGTGTAGGCCATGTAGACCTGCTTTTAATTTATGTTATCTTAGAAATTATTCAGAGAAAAAAATTATTAGAATCACTAATATAACAAATGAAAAAAATAAACAAAAAAACTAGCAACAAATATTTGCATTTGTTTCCTTTTAATTCCAAAGAAAATTGTATCAAATATTTGCTTTTTTGTTCTGTATTTCCTTCACCAACTTAGAAAATGTACGAACCAGCTCCGAATTACGGCCCAACCAGGCTTTTCAATATTTTACATGTGGAGAGAAAAGCTTAACTCCCTTGTTGTTCTTCATGAAAAGACATAGCCGGGACATTTGGTTTCCTTACATTCGCATCTTTTTCACCCCCTTGAATCTGTAAAGCTCAACGATTAAAGGACGAAGAATCACCCTTCACTTTACTATGTTTATGTTTCCGGGATATAATCACGTTCACTTCACCTATGGTTGAAGACGAGTCTTCGTCGTCGTAGTCGTGGTCGTCTCCGGCTTTCAACCCTTCAATCTCTTTCAACACTTCCTTCAACTCGGGTCTTGCCTCCGAATCCTCATTGCAACAACTTAACCCGATATTCAACACGTTTATCATTTCGTCTTTACAGTTCTTCGCTCCTTTCATTTCCTTGTCGAACACGTCACTGATCTTCTTGTCCTTAACCATCTTATTCACCCATGTGGCTAAATTCATGTTACTATCGTAACTGGCTGTTAGGTAGTTCTCTGGAAACCTACCGGTTAAGATCTCGAGGATGAGTATGCCTAGGCACCACACGTCGGTTTTCCTGCTTATGCGACCAGTCTTGTCGTACTCCGGTGATTTGTACGCTGTCATCAACTTGTGAGCCTGATCCTGGTTTATCAATGATCTTAAAGCATAGTCACACAAGAGAGGCTCAAAGTTCTTGTCCAAAAGCACGTTGGAAGATTTCAAATGCCCATGCGGAACAACTATGGTAGGCAGCTGGTTGTAGAGATAATTCAAACCCTTGGTAACTCCTTTTATGATATTCAACCGAGTCGGCCAATCAAGACCCGGATTATCACAGGAACGGTTGGCTGTACAAAAGAAAAAACTCGAGTTAGTAATTTTACATATGAGAATAAATTTATCTCATTGATTGTTGATAGTTGACTCCTTTTAATTTGAATAGAAAATTACAGTAGACGAAATAATAACCGTTGATTGATATTTTTCAATTAGAAAAAGTTGATTATAAAAGGAGGGTTTTAAAATAATAGAGATCTCATATTCATCTCAGAGTTGTGTTGAGGGCTATTTATAGGGAGAGTAGTTGGTGTCAATATGAGGTAATCATAATTATTTGGAGACTATTGAATTATATAAATTTGATAGTTAGATATTGAATTTCTTTATAATATGTCACGCGAAGTCTTGTCTATACGATGTAGTTATCTCGAAAAGCTGTGCTCAAAGAATATGAGTTCTTTGGAAGCTCCTATAAGCAGACGAATCAATGCGAGGATCTTTACTGATGGAAGATAATCTCCAGCGATATAAAAAATAAGATATCCAGAAAAAAGAGAATTAGGGAATGGGAATCTCACCATGAAGATGACTAGCCACGCTACCATCAACCATGAAGCTGGTAACCAATAGTTTTTCCTCTTTCCTATAGTAATAAGCCAATAAAGGGTGCAAGTTCTGATGGTTCAACCTTCCTAATCGTCTCATATGCTCGTTAAATTCTTCCTTCCCCACGTTATTCATTTGCTTATAGTTCTTCACCACCACCACTTCACCTTGCCCTATCATGGCCTTGTACGAAGCTCCGAAATTCCCACTACCCAGAATCTCAGCCGAGGCTTTCAATAGATCTTGCAAGTCGAACCTTTGGACATCATCTTTCAAGAATATCAATTCAGTCCTTTTCACATTGGGAGCTAGAGTTGGCTGTGGAGCTTTCTTTTCCTTTTCGACCGAAGGTGATGGCGGCGGCCTATATGACTCGACAACGAATGCTTCCTCCTCCGATGTTTTATATTGTCCTCTCCGCCGTAGGAGAAAGAGGATGAGTAATAAAATAACCAGTACTAAAGCTACAGATACCACAATAAGAGCAATCTTTAGACCAGTTGATGACTTTTTAATTATGGGTGGCAGAGGGGTAGGCGGGGAGCTAGGCGGAGAGCCGGGCAGCGGAGGGCTGAGATTACCGCATTCTTTGAGAGGTGGTCCGCATAGATTTTTGTTCCCTGCACCACAACAGAAGATATGAACCAATACATAAAGATTTTTACAGTCTTCAAGTACAAAATGCATGCAGTGGGGGTACCTGAGAAAAAATGGGCAGCCATTTTGCTTAAGCTTTTAGGAATAGGACCCTCAAATTGGTTGTTAGCCAAGTTCACCATCTTCAATTCGTTCCCGGTAAATTCAGGCACCGGGCCACTAAATTCGTTCCCCTCCAATTTCAGAATTGCTAGCTTAGGCAATTTAGTTAGCGATAAAGGAATTTTACCACTAAAAAGATTATTTGCCAAAAACACTTTCCTCAACGATTTCATCCCATCAAATATATCATCAGGAATCTCCCCAGAAAAATGATTATTCGATAAGAACAAAGCCTGCAATCTCCTTAGCTGCTTCATCTCAGGCATTTTGCCTTCAAAGTTATTGTTCATAAGACTTATAGTGCGCAAGTCCTCCAATGGGTCAAGACTTTCAATATTCACCACCCCTGATAGACCCATGTTCTCAAGTTGCAAACCCAGAACTTTACCGTTCTCGCTGCAAAGAACGCCAACCCAATTTGCTGCCTTTCCTGTACATGGACTAATCGAAGCATTCCAATTGGAAAGACCCGATGGGTCCGTAAACGAGTCCCGAAACGTCAAGAGGGGCTCAATCTCCTCCGGGTCACCGGCCGAGAGGACCACCATTAACGATGATGATAAAAAAACAGTAAGTGCAAGGAATAACGATGGATTTGGCATGCGCACAAGCCTAGCTATGTGCGTGCCCATTACCATTGCTTGCTACAACGTGGGAGCTTTGGTATCTAAGCAGTAAACACAGGCGTCGATATTGGAAACGGGTTTTGATTTTGATTGCATGAGCTTAATGAATTATGATCTCATTTCTTTATTTTCCTCGCATTTACTTGGTAATTTTCGTGGATTGTTGTTGCTGTGTTTTTGGGAGAAGGGAAGGAGTGAGGGATGAAAGGGAGTTGAAGAAGAAAATCAGGGGACAAACGCCACAGCACGATACGTTTGGCGTAAAATCCCAAGAATAGGAGAGTTGGTGAGGATTTCTGTAATAAAAGGATGGAAGGAAGAGAGGGTCCAAAGTTGGTGAATTTGAGTAAACATTGCTATATTCTTAGCTATAGGGCATGATTTTGTGGTTTAGAAGCTGAGCTGTGCGCCAGAGAAATGTAAGGCCTGCCTTCGAATTTTAAGCATTTTTGCACTCGTTTTTCATTTTGATGGTTTTAACCATTTCTCTATTTATAGCTTTTGTCTAGGGGATACCTATAATAAGATCAAGTTTAAACTCTAAAGCCTCAACTTTCAGAGCCCCCCCCCCCCCCCAAAATCTAGCTTAAGGTTTTATGCATGACCCCTCGTGTACCAAAAAATGTTCAATTAGATTAAACTCTATATTTAGTATAATATTCAATTATGCCTAAATAAATTTTTTTTAAAATCGTCACATTTCCTTAATTGATATTAAACAAATAAAAATAAGATTAAAAAAATATGTTATTAATATATTACGTGGATATCATTTTTACTCCTATTAGTTAATGTAGCCTTTAGTATTCTTCAATGAATTAAAAAGATGAAATGCCAAATGATTTGACTATTCACATGTATTATAATTATTAGAGAGCATTCATCATCCATATATATATATATATATATATATATATATATATATGGGGTTCATGTACTTGTCAAAATAAGGAAAAAATATAATACATCTATCTCTATTTTCTCTTCTATATCTCTCCTTTATTTAAAAATAAGTTATTAGCACGATCCAAAAATATTGTTGGGCAAGGCTGAACAAAAGTGAACCCAACGTTACCAATTTCAGTCAAGTGTGTAGATCTCAATAATCTAGCATCTATTAAGATATAATTTACTATCATTGTTCCGACATGAATTCTTTTATTGAGATTTACTATTTAAGTGAAACTTACTTTTTAAAGAGATTTATGACCTTGCATGATTTTTTTTTTTTAATTTTGGCATGTGTGAATAGTTTTATTTTATGTTTTCCTTTACTATATATTATTTAAGGCTTGTCCATTACTTTATTCATATGAATTTGTTATAATATACAAGTCTCTTGTTTGTAATAATGATTTAATCTAGAGATCTCGTATATATTAGCTTAACTTGTAAAACATGTTTTGTTGTTTGAATTTCTTATCATCTATTACCAGGATTAGAGTTTATCCATGCCTTGTCATTTTAATTATAATTTTCCCTTTTTTTTAAGATTTTATTTTCATGTTTATAACATTTTTTGGTATGCGTATGAGTAAACGACATTCACTTAATTGGTTTCTTTAATTATAATAGTGATCATGTCAAATCTTACAAAGCTTGAATTTATGCCCTAAGACATCATTGGAAATAACTATTTATCAGATGCTGAAATTCACTTGGATGCAAATGGTATTAGTGAGACCATTCAAGAAGGAAATAAAGCAACAACTCAAGATAAGGCTAAAGCCATGATATTCCTTCGCCATCACCTTCATGAAGGTCTTAAGACTGAATACTTGACTGTTAAAGACCCTCAACTGAATTACACCCAACTGGATCTACTCTATTCACTGAACTGAATGTGACAACTAAAAATGGGTAAGAATTGAAAGAAAGAAACCATGCCAATGACAGTGGTAATGGACGCGGCCGTGGTCATGGTTATAGTCGTGAACGAGGACGTGGATCTAGATATGGTCAAGGTGGTCATTTTAGAAACTCATATTCCCGTAGGAAGTGGAATCGTAAAGATGAAAGCAAGCATGAGAAAGAAAAGGAAAACAATGTGACCAATAAATGTTATCGTTGTGGAGGAAAATATCATTGGTCACGTCTATGTCGTACTCAAAAGCACCTAGTTGATTTTTATTAGCAATCACTAAAATAGAAGGGAAAGAAAATAGAGACAAAACTTGTGTATTAAAATGGCGAAGGTGATTTTGATGCTAGCAATACAACCCACTTGGAAACTGCTGATTTTTATTTTACCCTTGAAGGAAATAATTAAGTCCACAAATTTTTATTGATCGTCCTAAACTCTATCAACTTATGTTTATTTTTAATTATCAACGTCTATGTAGCTCATGTTTATACACGGAATGGTCTTGCATAATCTTTAATTAAGCGACTTAAATTGATAGCAAGACCATTACTTATGAAGTTTAAACTCCCAATCACTGATTGGGGCATGGAATTTTACATGGGGTGGCATTGATTCGCATCAGACCAACAAGTTATCATAAAATCTCCTCATTACAAATGGTTCATGGTCAAGAACCAAATATATCTCATCTAAGAATTTTTGGATGTGTCGTATATGTTCCAATAACTCCACCATATAGAACTAAGATGGGTCCTTAGAGAAGGTTGGGTATATATGTTGGATTTAAATCCCCGTGATAAATGATATCTAGAACCATCTACTGAGAATTTATTTATTGCTCGTTTTGCGAATTGTCATTTTGACGAGTCGGTTTTTCGAACATTAGGGGGGAGAGATCAAACAACTGGTAAAGGAAATTAATTGGAAAGAATTATCATTGTCTCATCTTGATACTCGTACTAAGCTGTAACACCCATTTCCCGTATACGTTACCACATACAAGTTCAATATGTCACAATTCTTTCAATACAATCTTTATTCGAAAATCACTAAAATTTTATTTCTTTATAGATTCATTCAATTATTATCAAAGATCATAAAATATTTCATTTCGATAGCATTAATAATCATTTTCACTAAAATACTAATCAACAAACCATTATTCATAAACAGTAATAATAAGTATCATCTATTTAAACAAGATTCAAACATATCTATTTTAAATATCATAACCACATAATATACATGTCAACTAGTACTATCAACATTAAAAAAAATGCCATATTGATTCTGGAGCGGATATGATCTTCAAAAGTTGATGATGGGCCTAGTTCCTCACTCCCAACGCTCTTTATTTCCTACGTGTGAAAATCATCTCACGCTAAGTATACACTTAGTGAGGCATTATAATTCTAATAATAAAAAAAGTAAAACATATGTATAACAAAACATAACATATATATAAAATATGAAAACATTATATAAAATTGATTTCTAATTCATCAAACCATATATAAAATATTCAATGTCAAACCAAGTTCTCAATAAAAGCTCTTCATTCGATCATATCAATCAACCTGTATATTCACATATCATTTCATATCACAATCCATTGTATGATAATTGAGAATACATAGTACGGAAATCACATACAAATGAATCATATACAATTTAACCACCTTGTAAACAATTTGCAATTTTAATGCCATATAACTTATTTTCAATTAAATCAATCAACTAGTACATTTCCATTTCAGATCAATCATGTGCCTTTCACTTTATTCATTTCATAGCATGTATCATTCACTTTCATTTCATAGCATATAATATTTACCTTTTTATTTCATATTCCAATGTAAACCACTGAGAGTGCAAGGTATGCGAGTTAGACGAGCATATACATATAACACACAAGTACTGTATAACACATTATCAATGTGCAATAATAAGGAATTCATCGCACCATCATCACATATGTGCAGACACCATTTTCATATATGTGCCATAAAATGTATTCCTGGTACTTTAGCACCACAGACGTCAGACATGTACTAAGTACCATATAGTAGCACCACTGTCACACAGATGTTAGACACGTGTTAAGTTTCATATAGTAGCACCACCGTCACACAGACGTTTGACACGTGTTATAAGTATAATGCAGTTGCTAGTAGCACCACCGTCACATAAGTGACGTCAGACATGTGATAAATATAATGCTCAAACTCTATGGCATGCCAATTATACATATGACTCTCAATGCATTTACAATGGACATTTTCATTAAATCATATATCATTCATTTATCAGAATCTTTTCAAACATCATTACAATCAAGTATCATAAATCATTCACATATCATAATCTTTTTAAATAATAACAAAATAAAGTATCATGTAATATATATTTCTCAATGCTTAGTAATAAAACTCATACAAATTCTATCGATACTTATTCGATACTAAATCCATTTCAAAACGTCAATGCTAACCATAACACTTAAAATATAACTTCAATCCTCTTATCATTCATGTCAACTCATAACTCAATCAATCATTTCAAATTCCACCATCTAACCATTAAAATGAATTCTTTTAAATTTTTTCTCAACATTTCCTATTTATTCAAAATAGTCCCTTGCCATTTAACTTCAATTCCAAGCATCAAAAAATATAATCAAGCATTCTAATTATACATTTAAACATTACTCTTCAACTTCTATTCCATTTCCACTTCAATTCTAAAATTTTCATATTCTGACAACTTGCACTACCTTTAAAGAATCATTATTATATATTAATCTACACACTGAAATTTAATTCTGTTTGTTCTGTTTGAAACTAGATTCAAATAAAAATATAAAAATATAAAGCAATCCTTCTAATTCAACTTGTACAATTTATAGTGAATTTCCTAATCCAATTTTCAGAATTTGTTTTGAGCAGAATTTCTTGCCCTCTTTTCTGACCTATCATCAATCAAAAATTCATATATTTCATTATACACGTAGAAATCAATTTCCGTTTGTTTTAAACAAAAGTATATTGACATACAAACACAAAGGTATAAAAATCACCTCCTAATAACTTTTATAGAAGTTTTGGTGATTTTTCAAACTTACTGCCAGATTAAAAAATCTAAACAATTTTCATTGTTTTGTATCCTTAATTTCTTCACCAATTCTTATAACTTGCACTTTGGTCCTTAAATTTTAAC